GTTTAGTAACACAATTTTTCATTAGAACTTTTCGAGTGAAGCTCTATGAAATAGTTTAAATATTTAGTTTTTTTACATTTTTATTGCATAAGATAATTGCACTCAACATCAATCGAGTTTAATAAATAACTTATTATTTTTGCAACATTTTCGTTACGAAGCACTACGATAACGGCAAGTAGGTAGCTAAGTCTCTGTCATAGTTTTCAATTTGACAGTGACAGTTCATAATTTTTATTAATTAATACGTTCTTATTGGAAATATAAGCCCTTTAATACTTAAAAACCAACATTCTTAACAACATACGTTTAAAGGAGATCCTCTTTTTTAGCATTTATATTATTTGTAATTCAAAAAGAAAAAAATATGCAATGAATTGTAAAGATAAAACATAATTAATTATTGATAAAAATGCGTAGAACGAAATGGAATAGATAAGAATCACCATCTGAATATCTCTATGGAATATGCTGTGTGCTAAGTTAAAATACCCCATTTTGAGGAAAAAAAAGAAATTTATTGCGCCTTAAAATATTTAAAATAGGTTAGGTGGCTATTAATTAGATAGATTCTTGTTGTGAATATCATGTTGGTTTTAAAGAATATTAAACATAAATATACTTTATATCATGAAAGTTATTTAATATTCAAGTAATTAACTTTTTCATAACTTATTCCATCATTTTTAAACTAAACGTAAAAGAAACAAACGCAAAATTGCCAAATTATAAACTCATAGTAACCATAAGAAGGCAAAGTAAACGAATAATAAATTTCTAACTCAACTGAAACCGAAAAATGTAATGTAATCTCCCTGAAGAGTTACTACATTATTATGCTACTAACCTTGCTGTGAAGAATGGGTTTTCATTATAAAAAAATCCCTGGCCCTCAGACAGGTTTACCAACTTAGGGCTTTTAGCCTCTAGGGCGGAAATAAACTAATTGGGCTTCTTTTGAGGCTCAAAAAAAAAGTTTTTAAACAATACCATTAATTCTGTGGGTAATACAAGCAGGACAGGGCTTTTTTTGGGGCTTTTGATTACACCATTCAGGGTTATTTGAGTTTGATTTTAGAGTTTTATTTTGTTGGGAGCTTGTTCTGTGGTTGGGAGTTGGTAACACTGCCCTCATATTTGATTTATTTATTGTTTAAAAAATATATAATTATAATAACTGTAGGCTCGACTTTATAATTTATATTTTAGAAATTACACATGTTATTATAGCGTGGTTAGGCAATATTAATATTATTGTAAACTAGTCATTAATATTTACCAGCGGCAACATAAAACATTTAAAGTAAACGGCTGGCAAGCCATGCTGTGAGCGATATTTTGGAAACAAAAGTTACATACAAATGTTATTAAGAGTTTGTGGATTTTTAAGTAAGCTTAATGAAATATTTATATGAAAATGACAACGAATAATATGATGAGTGAAAAGAAGAAGGCTTTAATAGCCTACAAAGAGCAAATATTGAAAGAACTCCAATACTATGATTCTAGAATTGAAGAGTTTAATAAAACAAACACATCAAGTTATTTTGAATATAGTGATAGGTAAGCAAATTTATATTAGTATATTTTATTCTTATCAAACGAAACTATTACCATTAAATAAGATGTCATGTCATTTTCATTATAACATAAAAAAAAATAATATGTATCATTTAATCTACGAGATTTCAGTAGTTTACTGATTATAAAATTTCCAACCCTGTCTTTATTACTCACTGGGATATTCTAAAAATCTATACATACTTTTGCTGTTTATTAGCTTACAAACTATTACAGATATATTGAAAGACATTTTGCAAGACTTGTGTTATGCTGTGATAATTTTTATTTTTAGCTCTGATTCAGAACCAGAAATTCCCATGAATATTGACTTAGGCCCATCTGTTCATGTATTAAAACAACAACAAGTTTCACTGAAGACTTGCTTACAAGCCACCCAGGAGTTGACTGGACTGCAGGTTTTACAGTCCGAGGTCAATCTGATGGTAAATGATCCTGTTATAGAAGGGTAATGTAAATTTTTGAGTACTATGCATTCTTTTTGTTTATAGAGGTTACAAATGGTTTGTTTAGTAGAAACAACTCGTTATGGGTTATGAGACAATCAAATAAATAGTTTTTTTTTGTTATGGTAGCGTTTTATATACTATTACTGATAATCACACTTTTATGCTTATTATATTCCTAAAACTTATTATGAAAAAACAAATATTTTATAGTCATCGCTGCATGACTGCAAACAGTGCGTGATGTAACTCCCTTCTTACTCATATCAGAAGAAGAGATTTATTACAACTTATTATATGATATTTTTTAGATATATTTCATGTATATCTATAAAATAAAAATATTATAAAAAGTTGTCTACACCCCAATTATTTGTTAGGAAGACATTCATTAATTTGTTCATCAATACCATAATTTCTAAATAATTCATTTTGATTATTCTGAGTGTAAGTTAGTTTTTCTAAACCAGTTTCCAATTTTTTTTTTAAAGTTTCTAATATAGATTAATCTCCCTAGTCACAAATTGAACAAGTTAAACATATTTTTTAGTGAACCTCCAGTTTTGGCACAAGGCAATTGGCGTGAAGTGACAGCGGAATGTCGTGTTGATCTTGTACCTTTTTCTATCCACTTTTATGTGCACCAATCGGTAAGGAGCCTGTTTATTTTTATTTATTACCTATTATAAAGCTATCCATTTGCTTGAGTATAGGCAATTGAGACAATTTAAGCTCCCATATTTATAATTTTTATTAATAGTGAGTTTACACAAAACTTAAATAATTTATACAGCTTCCTTGTGAATTATACATAGAAATAATTTTATTTTACTTAAAGGAACATACTCAATAATTGCAATATTTTAGATTAAACTTTTATCCTTATGAACATAATGGCCAATTTCCAAGTTTCATTTATGTTGATTTTTATTGGCAGTATCATATGATTTCATATATAATTACAGAGTTTGCAAATATTTAAATCAGCAATTTACTAGTTGAATATCTACTCAAAAATCCGTATTATTGATTTATGATCATATTGAGTTTATGATGGGGCAGGATAAGCAGTTTGGTGCTCGTATGCTATCGAGACGTGCGTGCCGTGTGCGTGCGCGCATCACACGCGGCTGAGCTCTCTAGCTCCGTTCTGGCTGCGGTCACCACGCCCAGCGATGCCGTCGAGGTACTAGCTTATAAAGAACTGACTAACAGAATAGATAAAGAAACTTGTTTTCAGTTGTGTTTACGAAAGTTAAACAACTTCACCAAGGGCCGGTATTAGGGTGGAGTACCCAAAATTTATTACGAGTATATTGAGCTTCTCTGTGTATCTGAAAACACTTTAATCTGTTGGTGCAGGCTAAACACCCACAAATCCGCACTGGGTCCACGCGGTGTGTCATGGCTCATTGTCCCTATTTGATTGCATCCATAGGAGAGGCCTGAGCCCCAGCACTGAGGTTAATAGGCTGGTGATGTATTAATTCATTAGAAACCCCCAGACTGTGGTGTTGGAGCTATTTAGATTATCAATGTTTTTTTATTTATTTAGTTACAACATGCTGACTTTCAAACTAATACTTTCAATACACCAACAAGTTACAAATAACAAAGAAAAAATAAACAATGTCAATTAGTTAAGTTTAAATTACAAACAATAACTATGTTAATATCACAATAACTGAGTAATGTAATAGTAGGCATGTCAAGAAAATAATTAAGTAAAACAAATATGTAATAAAATGATTTGTCATTGTCAACAGTTACAGTATTCAATAATTAATAACAGTCGATACTTGTTAAGAAATGCCGAGCAATTATAGCTAATCTAGTAATACCATCAAAAATTCACTACCAGGTATTGAAAAATTACGCGGCGGGTCATCGTTCGCGTCGCACTACCCTCGCTAGACTCGCCAACAAATACAACGATACCTTACATATGGAACCGATGGTAATTTTTTTACTTTACATATTTGTTAAGCAGACTCGGATCTAGGGGGCGCAAGTGGGTACACGCGACCCCCTAAGATAGTGGGAAGGGGGGCAGGGCGCCAAAATCATCATCATATTATAATGGCACATTATAGGCTATCATGGAACGGACGTGCTTTAAAATTCCAAAATTAAATAAAAGAAAAATATCATAAATCGAATTGGAAAATAAAAGGAACAAGAATTAAGAGTATTAAGAAAACTTGGCTAAACAGAATTCTCATTCGATTTTGCCACTCCTGTTTTTATCATTAACTTTTTGTTGGTCCAGAATTCTTGTGTAGACAAATCAAATGAGTCTAAACTTCATTACAAAGCTGCCATGGTCACTTTACAGTTTTTTTTTATAAATAAAACGATGATGAACTCACTTTTACCACGTCAGAAACAAAATTTGAATGAATATCATAGACAATTATTCAAACATCCTTAGTGACATATAGTATGATTTCAAGAATTATTTTTTATTTTTAAATATTTCCTCATGGTAAATCAAATTCCTAGATGGTGCTGTTCTTAGTTTATTTATTTCTTTTTACTTCGAAATCAATTATTATATGGCATTGTTCTTGTTTTATAGACATCTTTCAATCTTCTACTCTATGCATCTGTTAACACATCACAATGACGTCATGAATATGACGGACAGCGTTTTCGCGGGTAGAAAAAGTTTGAATACTGGTTTACTTTTAAGGCAAGAAAATGTGTTTATTTTTCCGTTAGTTTTGTGGCTTTTTTAAATTAAAATAAATAGTTACAAGTATTATTTGAAACAGAGTAGAATACCCTGTTGGCTTCTTGACTTATTTGGGATTTTTTTTTAAATATTTCATATGTTCTTATTAAACCACTATCAGATTTATTTATTCTGTATTGTGTTATCAGATTAAGGAAAAATATATTTTATTCACTAATTTAAATTGTCCCACGAAAACAGACACGTAATATTTCTAGCCGTGACGTCACATTTCAAAAGACATGGGTGTTGGTTGTTGGCGTTTAAGTTATTGAAATGTGAAGTCACACGGTGCGCCCGCTTCTTGGTTCTTGTAATCCACAGACTATAAATTATAGCAAGTTAATAATGCAAAAATAAAATATACTTATTTACTACAATTTATTTTAAAACAAAAAGTACTACATAGTTATTGTTCACATATAACTTGCAATTATTACTGTTGTTTGCAAAAGAAAATTAAGGAATATTCCAAACAGTTGATGTTTTTTAGATATACATAATCGTACCGGTACATTATAGTAATAACTGGTGATGTATTAGTCTTTTTCTTTATTACAGCCTGAAGGCGGCTACCTTTTGAAATGCGCGAACCTTCTAGAAATGTCCTGGACATTACAGAATAAGTGGTCGCCGATTGCGCCGTTCCACCATCGTATGAAGTTCGAAATTGAATATATGGGTAAGATGGGATGCTTATTAAATGTACTTATTAATAATTGGTCTATAAGGATAAGGTCTATAAGGTTTGATATTTACAACGTTCGGTATATAACTAAATGCTAAGATACTGACTTTATGCCAATCTGGATCAGAAAAAAAGAGTATTCACCAGCAAAACACGAATACGCGAATTCGAATCCAAAAAAGTTATAATTCAAAATATTAGCGGCCAGTATTGTCCATAAATTATACAAAGAGTAAACCTATCTATAGTAATGTGCAAGGACGTCCACTAAGCGTCTGGTACGCGGTCGCCATTCCAGAATCTTTTCGCCCCAACGGTCATCGTGTCTTCTAGCTATGGGTCCTTCCTATTGCCACTTCAGCTAAGCAATTTCTTTTTTCTCGGCTTAGCCGTTTATAAAACTGAACCATGAGTATGTGATGTGTGACCTATTCTTTTGTGTTACCTTCGCTATTTAGTGATGCCGTATCAACTTTTATTCCCGAAAATTTCCTCACAATGCGACATATGTTAAGTATAACGGCTTTTTGTAACTTTATGTATTGTTCAATAACTTTAGGCTAGTATGAAGATGTTTTGCAATTACTCCGATACTTGAAATGACTATTGGTACAATGTTAATTTTATTAATAATACAATATAATGTATATTATATTAATAATAAAATTATATGACTGTTAATAATGATTAATTAATTATCATTGTATTATATTTTTTTTGTCTTTGATGTTGTAGAATTATGATTATTATTAATTTTCCAGACCACTTATTTTATTTTTAATATGAAGTCCTCTCTCTAAAGTGTTGCTGTGCCCGACTGGGTTCATAATTTGATTCTGATATTATTATTTTGTAATATCAATGTAACACTATGGTTTTGCAATAAATATTTGAGTATTATATATAATAAATATTAACTTTTTTCTGTCTCCAAATTCTAGCTACTTCTTTTTTTAAATCTGCGTATCTATATATTTTGCTAGGGATTTCTATATGAATTAGATATATATTATTATTATTAATATTATCATCATTATTATTATTAACAGACAGGCAGACAGTTACAATCAGTGATGTGATTTGTATCCAGATATCTTTTGTGTGAGATATTTCATTATTCCTGTTTCATGAGTTTGTCTAATTTATTTTTAAATTGAATTTGTAGTCTGTGCTGAAACTACATCTGTCTGTTATCTCTTCCAAGCTTGTACCACTCTGTTATTAAAAAAGTGCTTTTGTGAGACGACGCTTTTTTTTGTTAACTTTAGATGATCTCCTCTCAAGTAAGTGTTATGGGAATATTCAAATAACTGTGTATCAAAATCTTTTATGTCGTAATATCCATGCAGTATTTTATATACTTCTATCGACTCTCCGTTGTCTCCGTTCTTTTAACGTGGTGAGTTTCAAAGCATTCAACCTTTCATCATAAGTTTTATTCTTAAGCTTTTTAGGAAGTTTGTTAAGTTGCAATTAATTTTTCCAACATTTATATATATATTTTTTAAATAAGATCTCCAGATTTTATAGGTGTACTCCAAAATATACATCGCATGTGTTTTATGAATCTTACATACCATCTCTGGCGTCAAATGTCCAAACGCTTTCCTGGTAATCTAGCAATGTCAGTAACGTTGTTGCACATTTCTTGAGTACTGTCTAAAATTTCAATTGTTTTTTTTTGGGTCAGTGTGCATATAACGCATAGTTCCGTTGATGCGCACGATGGTTCTTACTTCAGACATGCCGACTCTTCGTGTCAGAGACATTTCTATGATTCTATAAGGAGGTTCGATTTGTGGTCAGATTAAGATAGAAAAATAACTTTCATACTGTCTCCGCTCTGAGTGCTGCGGTACCTTCGTTATTTCAGATTTTCAAAATACATTCAAGTGTTTCAATCAAATATGATCTGAGAAATGTATGTAATGTTGATAATTTATATATTATACGATTATTTTATTATAACTCTCCGTGTGGGCCTAGTCTGGTTTTTTCGATGTTAATGATACAGCTGGAACATTAGTTTTAATTTAAAGTAGCTTCCGAAGCTCGGCAGCAATAGGTATTTAGTTAACGGTCTGATTATTGGCCTTTGCGAAAGTCGCTGAACACCTGCAAATCACTGCGCATAAGGTCTTCTAAAAGCGCAAATCTATCCTAATATTATAAAGAGGAAAGGTTTTTTTTTCTTTGCTTGCATCGAATAGGCGACATAGGCTATAATTTAAGCGGATGAAGTCGCGGGAAAACACCTAGTGTTACGTATATAATATCCTGTTTTAACCCATAAGGTTTTTCAGAGTTTTCGATTATATTTATAGTCATCAATTCAAACAGTACAAGGAAGGAGAATTAATAATATGTTATTTGTGGAAATTGGCAAAATTAAAATTAATTAATTTTCAAAACTATATTATTTTTAGTATTATTATTATTAGATTCAATTTTTGTTTGCAGATGAGTCTTATATCAAAATCATTACCCAAGCTCACCGTCAACTGTCCAATCCAGCGATAGATACAGACGAGCGAACGTTACTGCTATCCAAAATAATATCTACATGTTTAGAAGCTCAGGGTCCTACGCAGGAGTTGTACGAAAGCATGTCTTCAGACCCTGAAACAGCTATGTCTTTGAAAAATAGACGAATGACGTTAGACAAAGAGCTTGAAGCGCCGGTGCACACTAAAAATAAAGACACAGAAATCATGGCCCCACCAAAATCGTTGCCGAAGAAAACTAAACCTAAGGGCAAAGAAAACGTAGTCGAAAACGCTAAAGCGAAAAGACCCAGTGAAGAGAATGTCAACAAAACAAAAAAAACTTACAATGACAGTGAACTTTCTAAAAAGCATGAAATGAAATCTCCTAACGAAGTTATTAAAGAAAAACTTGTAAATAAGGAAAAAAGTGTTGTTGTAAATCTTAATAAAGAAGGAACAAAAACTAATGTAAGCAAAGTCGATAAATTAAACACTAATAATGTTAACAAAGACAGTACTAATACTGGAGAAGCAAACCCTAAAAGTAAAGAGGAAAACACTAAAACTAAAGAAGCAAATACTACAACTAAAGAAGCAAACACTAAAAATAAAGAAGCAAACACTAAAACTAAAGAAGCAAATGCTAAAACTAAAGAAGCAAATGCTAAATCTAAGGAAGCAAATATTAAAACTAAGGTATCAAATACTAAAACTAAAGAAGCAAGTACTAAAACTAAAGAATTAATGGATATTGATGCTATGAAAAGTACTGAACAGAATGTAATTACTAAGAGTGCAAAAAATAAAACAACACCAGAAACTAATACATCTAATAACACGAGCATAAAAGGTACCGCAATTACTAAAATTAATAAGGCAGATTCTGGTAAAAAGCTTTCCCAAAACGAACCAAACACAGACAATATAGAAAAAGCAAATAAAGAAATAAACCATGAAAAGCAGCCTATGAAATCTAATAACAAGAATAAAGAAAAAGTGGAAAATATGAATCTTAAAGATAAACCTATCAACTCAAATTCTGCTAAAACAGTAAAAAAACTAAATACTGAAAACAAAGACAATGCTAAAACTAAACCATCAAAGATACATGCTATTCCGAATTCTGACAAAATTGAAAAAAATCAAGTTAAAACTGTTTTTCCCAATAACAAACAAGTGAATAATGTGCAACATGAACATATAAAAAATAAGCCACAAACAAAGGATGTTGAAAAAGCTAAAACTGTAAGCAGTAAAACCAAAGTTCCAAATAAACTTATGACGTATAATGACAAAGAAAATAAAGAGACTACTAAAAAAATCAAAGAAAAAACTAATAATGAAGTCGAGAAAGTAGTCGAAAAAAATAAAAATGTCGCCAATCTCAAAAGAAAGAGCAACTTAGCTGAGCTACATGATAAAGGTGACGATAACAATGAACAAAATGTTGCCTCTGCAAAAAAGCCAAAATTATCTAAACCTGAAATAGCCAAAAACGTGACTAATAATAAATCGGATAAACCTGAAGCAACAGTAAGTAATTCAAAAAAGGCACAAGATATTATTAAACCACAAAATAAAATGATCAACAAGTTCACTGTCAATAATCTAAAAAATAAAACTGGTAGCATCAAAACATTAAAAACTGGCAACATTCAAAGAGTTTTTAACGCTAGCAACATGTCAAGGCAAAGTTCGGAGAAAGCTTCTAAAATACCGCAAAAGAAGTCATTGAATTCTGAATCTAAGTTGAAGAAAAACCCTCTAAGAATTAGTCCAAGTAAGTGATTTATATTGATAAATCTATGACAAGGTATAAAGATTGTCACTTTAATTCAAAATTAAGTCAACAGGAACCTAAATCAAAAGTTTTAATAACCTATTTCATAATTTATATAAAGGAATTATGCAAGTCAAACGACTTGGATATATTTTACTGTATTATGTAAAGGGCCAGGTGATTGATGATCAACAATTTTTTTTTTGTTGAATCTTATTGAACATGCGTTAGCATTTGTATTACAAATATTTTATTTCACTCAAAAATTATTGTACTTTTCCTGTGGCAATTATGTTCATGCGTTATAATTTTCTACTCTTCGACAAAAGTTTTAATAATCTATTTCATAATTTATATAAAGAAATTATGCAAGTCAAATGACTTGGATATATTTTACTGTATTATGTAAAGGGCCAGGTGATTGATGATCAACAATATTTTTTTTTGTTGAATCTTATTGAACATGCATTAGCATTTGTATTACAAATATTTCATTTCACTCAAAAATTATTGTTCTTTTTAGTATAATTTTCTACTCTTCGATATGTCCTCTCTAATTGTTAATCATTGTTGTTGCTAACTGTGGAAACCTTTTATTGCCCATCCGAGATATAATTTAAAGTCTACATATAAATATCATGTGCTGTTGGCATTCCCGAAAGCTCGCGATCAAATGTATATCAAAATTGTGGCCTATACATGGTGTAACACTAAGAATATATCTTTGTATTTGTTATAGTATCAAAGTTTCCCAGACTGATGATTCTTAATGTATACCGTATATTAGAAAGCGAGCGTCGAGCTTTCTGACTAAAAAGTCGCAAGTTCATCTAACGCGCGTCATTGTGTTCCCTACATACGGTATCGGACTAGAAACTTTTCAAATCACGCCGTACCAATGCCCACGCTTCAAACGATTACTGTAACACAGGCGGCTATTATTAAGCATTTTTTTCATTCGTGAAAAAAAAAGCACGTGTTATGGCGTAGTGGATAAGCGCCGCGGCCCGCGATCGTTGTCGTTAAGCAACTTTCGCAAGGGTCGGTCACGGGATGGGTGACCGCAAAATTATTATCTCGAGCTACTCCGTGGTTCGGAAAGCACGTTAAGCCGTTGGTCCCGGCTGCATTTGCAGTCCTTAATACCGTCCAATCCGCATTGGGCCAGCGTGGAGGGTCATGGCCCGTCCTCCTTAACCATCCACAAGGTAGGCCTGTGCCCCTACAGTGGGGACGTAAAAGGGCTGATGATGATGATGAAGTGTTTTAAAACTATGAATTTTCATGTTCCAGGAAAAATTCCTTCAAAGTTCAAGTCTGCAACTACTTTTGGTAACACGTTCAAACCAATAGTACAGAAAACTACAAACATACCGAGTAAGTAGTGTTTTAAAATACAATTTGTTCTTGTCTTACACATCTACCATTTTTTTGAGATAAATACTAACGAAGTTCTAATTTAGTAAAGTAAGTTCCAACTAATATGGTGCATGCTAATACTTCGTTTAGAGTAGCTCGGTAGCGTAGTGGATAAGCTCTGTGACCCGCGATCGTTGTTGTTAGCAACTTTCGCAGTGGTCGGTAACGGGATGGGCGACCAATGCTTGTGCTGTAGGGGACGTAAAAAGGGCTGATGATGAATGAATACTTCGTTTGCACAGAGTAGATCTACTAATCCAGATATGACCGAACGTACGATTTAAATGTATAATGAGTCTTGTTTCAATAATCACAAGGTGTAATATACAACGCATTAGGTGTGTCTCACATTGTAGGCATGTGGGTATTATTAGTGGATCGTCCAATGGCGCGATAATTTCATCATTCTGATTGATCGACATTTGTCGCTCATACACTCGTATCTATATCCGAAAGAAGTAATTACTTTAGGTTGTTTCATAACTTAAGCAGATATTTTTACTTCATATTCCCGAAATCAATTTAGATGTCGCTACGGTACATTCTTGATTTCTACATGACAACCCTTCCGGTTTTCTTTTATGTATAAAAGTAAATTGATTTCAAAATTGTACTTTTTCGTGTTTGTATTGATATCTAAGTTTCGAATATTGGAAATTTCAGTTATTTTATATGTTAGTTAAAAGGAACGGAAAGACTATCTTTAGTCCATTTGTTTCATGCAAAAATCAACTTTTGCTAGAGTCGCCAAAAGCACCTGTGCTTTCTTTTTTTTATTAAAATACTTCCTCATTAGCTATTGACAGTTATTACTTCATTCAAATTCTAGTCTTTTGGTTAAAAATATTTGCTTAAATTATGATATTTTCTCAAGTAATAATTTTTTTCGACTATAAATATGGGTGTTAGAATAGAAATTCGGTCTTCTGCGCAGATACATCATTAATCCACATAAGTTGTAACATACTTCATTACCAGTCAACTTTGATGGTCTCTAATAGATCTTAGAAAAGTGACATATTAGAAAATTAATAACTATAAAGAATTATGACTAATTTTAACAATTAAAGATGTTTAAAGCCCTTTGAGAGACGGTAGTTGGAGAATAATTACAATACATAGAAAATACCACGTAATAAAAGTCAAAATAGAACCATTACATTCTATACTCACCTTTGATATTTGAATTGTTTTTATGAGTAATATATTTACAAAATATGCCTATTATATGTTATTTAATCTTTGTATTTTTATTCCAGGGTTAACGAAGAATAATTCGCCGAGAATGTGAAACTAACAAAGATCCAGAAGAATTCATATCACCAGTGCCTAATTATAATGTTGACTGTTTATTTTTTTATCGTGCCAATGACAAAGTTACAAAGATAAATTTGATAAAATCAATATAGTAATGCGTTTTATTGTAATGTCATGCAAATGTAAACCTACAAACAGGGATAATGTAATTTGTATATGTCGCAGCCAAATAGTATAATCAGACAACCAATTGGGCGGCTAGCCCTTTATTTCAATGGTGTCATTCAATTTAATTGAAGGGCTAGCCGCCCAGTTGGCTTGCTGATTATACCATTAGGCTGTGACATGTACATAGAAGCACAAAATGTGAATGTCTCAATAGATTTTGTAATGATAGTCATTGTAATAAGCAGGGCCTGCGAACAGTTTGAAATATACCGGTTTAATAAAGGTTATTGACCTGTGTCCTAATTCTACTATTGTTAGCTTAAGAGCCATATGACAAATTTTCACTCTGTGATTTGAGTTCTCGAGAACTTGTTCAAGGTCACGAGTCCACAATACTGTGTTGAAACCACGTTCAAGCTATTTTGATACTTTTCCCAATTTTTGTATTTATTTTAGTATTTCTATGGTGAGATTCATTATCGATTCCCGAATATTTTAAACGACTGCTCTCGAAACGAGTCTATTGTTTTTAGAATTAATGTATGTATGTGAGTATTTTTATTGCACCATAACTTTTGAAAGATATAACCACAGAACATAGAGAGAGATTAGAAGTAGTAAGTGGGCGGGACACACGTCGCTGGCATATGCGCTTTTACTCATATGACGCCCTTTCCTCGAATTTACGTTCGTCAGTCGTTCGTCAATCGTCGAGTGGTGATTTTACAGATTTTTTCTATAAAAAATGCCGTTTTGTGCTATTATCACTTGCAAAAAGCAAAGCAAAGTATACAATCTAACTAATGCAAACATTTCCTTTCACTGGTAAGTACAATTTTAGTGCTAAAATATAAAAAAACGTAATAATTTGACACAATGTTAAATAAAATATACATTGATTACTCAAACCAACATCTATTTTTCTGACCCCATTACTAAACAGCAATGTAAATCATTTTGTGCACTTTTGCAAAAAATAGTGCTGTGCCTCCATTTGTCTGAAATGTACCGATAGGCTGCTGCTGCTCGGAATCGTATTGTTAATTATATGGATCGTAATCGATAACTAAAACATTTTTATTTAGAGCTTTTCTTTCATCATTTCATAACAACGTTATCGATAAATATATGCCATAATTATATAAAACTAAATAATACTGTTTACAAGGGAAAATTATAGATGAACTGATACTGAACAAATGAAATAATGAACTATCCATACACTTTTTTTACGAAGATTCGGTTAATTATTTACAGATAAATATTAAAAAATACTGATGTGCTATAAATATCTAAGTTACGAAGTATATCACCGTTTTATGAACAATACATAAATCAAACGAAACATCGTGAAAAGCTAAGAGAGTTGGCCTAATAGGTCTTGTTAGAAACTGGTGAAACTGGATTTCACTTATTTTGCATTACTTATATTTCAGTTTCCCTAATAACTTTACAACGGATTGCCCTGTTTACATAATTAATTATGCCCTATCTGTTTTAGACCTAAACCTATCAAATGAATTTCAAAACAACATAATATCTATACAAACAAAAAATCATGTTTTCAACTAACGTAATATTGTTGGTGGTGTGAATTTAATTTACAAAATTAATTTTTAGGCGTCAATTTAATTTACTTTATTATGCTGATTCATAATCGGAAACTATTATTATAGAAATCGAGTTAAGAAAGCCACAGAACAGCTTTTATCAGTTTTTTTTTTTGTTGCTCCATATTTGCAAATAAGTTTATAGACGCATGTCTCAAACGGATGTGACTTTATATGTAGATTGACGTTTGTACGTACTTATCGCTTCTGTGTCTGTCTTCAAACTTTTTTTTCACGGCTTTCAAACTCATACTTGACCAGCAATTCCTTATTGTCCAGTCGTTGCAATTAATAATGTAGGTACTACTATTATTACAGATATAAAATTTAGAATAATAAAGTAAAACAAACATGGCTATGATCAATTTATTATTGTAATGATCATATTAGTTATTATGAAATGAAATGAAAATATTTTTATTCAAGAAGGCGATTACAAGAAGGCTACATACGAGGGTCAAACTGAAAGTTCTTAGAACTGGCCACTTATAAACAATATAATAAAAAAATAATTCTAAAATTTGAAAATATAACTCTTTGCCAATATTACTGAGTATATATTTCATTCATTTGTCATTTGTTTTACGATTTGGCGGCAAATTGAAAATTGTCTGTGTCACGTCATCATGAATTTAACACGAGAAAATTTTCGTGCAATGATTTTTTATGACTTTCGATGTCATTTAAGTCAACAAGAAAGTTATGATAGACTACGATTGGCCTTTCACGATGAAGCCCCATCTCGTGCGACTGTTTACAACTGGTTTAATGAGTTTAAACGTGGTCGCACTAATCTCACTGATGATTTACGTGAGGGACGGCCTTCTACGGCGACGACTGAAGATAACATCTGTGTTGTGCGGCGTATGATAGAGACTGACAAAAGAGTGACCTATCAACAGATTCGGACAAGCTTAGGCATCGGTATGTGTCAAGTGCACAAAATCCTCCACGAACATTTAGCGGTCAGGAAGCTTTGCGCCCGGTGGATACCTCATAATTTGACTGAGGCTCAAAAACTCCATCGTGTGGATTGGTGTCGTAAAATGATTGAAAGATTTAACGGAGGTGACTCAAATGCTGTGTTCGACATACTAACAGGTGACGAAAGCTGGATTTACTGTTATGATCCTAAAACCAAAAGACAATCTGCTCAGTGGGTGTTTCCTTTCGAGGAGTTGCCAACTAAAGTGAAGAGAGATCGAAGTGCGGGAAAAAAAATGGTGGCCTCGTTCTTTGGAAGGATAGGTCATTTTGCAACAATTGTGTTAGAGGATCAAAAAACAGTTTCTGCAGAATGGTACACTACCAATTGTTTACCACTTGTCTTGGAAAAAGTTCGAGAGAAACGACCTCGCAGTAGGATCCTCCTTC